CACCTATCTTCAAGAATATATTCTATTTCAGGGAATTTACCTTACAGGTAATATAGACAGGCACCTCAAAAATATATGCACAAAATCTAAAAATGCATCAAAACTTGTATTATTAAACTGTAAACAATCCAAATGTCCATCAAAAAGAGACGAGATGGGGCCGGCAGGTGGCGTGGTGATTAAGGGTGCTGGGCTCCCACATGGCTGATCACAGTTCAAGTCCTAGACCTGGCGGCTTGTTTGTTTTCTCTCTCTCTCACACACTCTCCTTCTCTGGTCAAATTAAAATAAACAAAGATAAATAAAATAATTCTTAAAAAAAAAAAAAGAACCAGCTAAATAAAGTGTGGTAAAAAACATGTTATATAAAACTTAACAGTCCTTAGAATGAAGAAAGTTTACATGCAATCCCTTCTCTTCCCTGCTGCTCCTGGGATCTTAGGCACACAGACACATGGGATTTTCAAGCGTAATTCTGAAGTCACTGGGTGAAACAACAGTCAGCCATGTGGGAGTTCAGTGACATACCCACTATACCATCTGCTGGTCCGAGCAAAGGCCAGTTTTTAGAAGTGACAGAAGATAACAGAAATATGGTCAAATTTGGGCCAGTCAGGTGATGTGGGATCAAGTCCCAGGCTGGGCCTCTTGACATACTGGGTACGTGTGCATTCATGCCCCGAATCCCAGAGAGTGGAGGAGAGAGAGGACAAACATGGTCGGCATGGTCATCCTCCAGCCCCTGTGGGCTGCTTTCTCACTTCCCATTCAAAAAAAGAAAAGAAAATACAGTTAAATTTTAAACCAGGTAATCAGATCCTGAACTTACATATTTACAGAACCAATTCAAAATTTAGAAAACTAGGAGCCAGCCCGTAGTGAAGTGCTTAAGGTACTGGACTCTGACATGGCTGCCTGAGGTTCGAGTCCGGCACCTGGCGGCTTGAAACTCACCCCAGGTGCTTGTGCGTGCATGCCCAAAATCCCAAGAGGAGAATGGAGGAGAGGGGATTGCAGGAAAGCCATTCCTTCCTTCACCCCCGGGGGTGATTGCTAGCTTTCTGTCTCTCCAGTGAGCACACACACCCTATTGCAAAAAAATCTCTGAAAAACAAACAAAAAGGTCACAGATGTTATTTCCTGCCCCAAACCTTCTCAAAATACAAGAGTATATAGGGAAGGGAGGAAGGTTACAAAATTACTATTCATTCTAAAGTGTTTAGTTGGATTAAGTAAACCAGTTTTTCCACATCAAATCAAATCGAAACTTGTTTTGAGCACAAGGAAAAAGGACAGTTGTCGTAAATGTTTAAAGAGATGAAATGAGCTAATGGTCTTTATTTGCTTAAACCTAAAATCCCACAATTAAATGTTCAGCTTCTAGGAGAGTTTTCTCATGTGTCAGAGAATCAAACTATAGTCTTGTTTTTAACAAATCTTAGTCAAATTTTCTTCTCCAGATTAGCATGTCCCAATGTCTACATGATTGAAAATAAAGGTAACAATTATAACTGAAAAAAATGTAAGTAGCTTAGAAATAATTATTACTGGCTCTGCCTTTCTAAAATTAAGAAAATGGGAATCATAATTCAGTAAGGGAAGGAGGAGCACATGGGAATCAACAGACCTTAATGGAGAACTGGAACTTTGAACAATGCAAAGGCTGCAGTTTCACAGTTTTCCCTTAAAAATGAGGACATCTGATAGCTGCTTAGGGAGAGGAAACTATGAGCTACATTATAAAAGCATACTGTTTTATCAAAGAATAAATTTAACTTACTAGATGAATCTATTACATTGTTGGGAAAGTCAAGATGTATTTTTCTATACAAGAATGCATGGTGACTTTCCTGAAGACCCAATATTTGTTACATTATGCCATTACTCTTTGTAAAGAAAATAAATAAATCTAACAGGCCCTGTAGCTCAGTGGTTAAGGTAACTGGATCCTACATGACAGCCAGCTCTACGCTCCTTTTTGGTTTTTGAAGGTTTTTTGCTATAGGGCATGTACTCGCCAGAGGACGGAGAGAGAAAGTAAGAAATCTCCCCCGAGGGGATGCCAAGTCGCAATCCCTCCTCTATTCCCCTCCTGAGATTTTGGGCATGCATGCACATGTAGCCAGAGTGAGTTTCAAGCCACCAGGTTCAGGACTTAAACCAAAGTCATCCAAGTGTGAGTCCAGCACTTTAACCACCACACCACCTCCTGGCCTCTGTGTTCCTCTTAAATAATTCAAGCTTTAAAATCACAAGCTAGCATTTCACTTACTAAATGAGCAAAAATATGAACAACTCATAATATCTGTGATAGTGAAGGCAAGGGTAAAAGATCTTCTCGTTCAACGTAGTTTGTGCCATAAATTGGCTTAACTTTAAAAATGTATTATTTTAATAGACAAATAAAATTGTCTATCTTTATAGTACACAAAATGATGTTTGGATATATGCACACATTGTGGAATGGCTAAATCAAATTAATTAACACATACATTACCTTACACACTTATTTGCTTTAACCTTTCCCTCCCCCCTTTCCTTTATACCAGAGGTTACAAGCATGTGCCAGAGAGAGAGAGAGAGAGAGAGAGAGAGAGAGAGAGAGGAAGAGGAAGAGGAAGAGGAAGAGGAAGAGGAAGAGAGAAAGTACTTCCTGGTCATAGTGCAATCTCCCTTCCTCCATTTCTTTTTTAAGTCAAGATCATGGGCAAGTGTGCACATGCATCTGATGTGTTTTTCAAGCCATCAGGGCTGGGATTCGGACAAGGATAGGACAGAAGGGATTCAGCTCCCTCCACACAATGCCTTGCCACTGCACTATGGGGCCAGCCCTTGTTTAACTTTTTTTTTTTTTTAGATTTTTGCCATAGGCTGCATGTGTTCAAAGGAGAGAAACAGAGAGAAAGGGAAATGAGTAATCACCTTCCAGGGTCATGGCCACACCACAGTCCTTTCTCTTCCATTCTCTTCTAGTGATTTTGGGCATGCGTGCACACACGCCTGGCATGTTTTTCAAGATGCTAGGTCCGGGACTCGAACCAGTCAGGCATGTGAGATCCAGTGCCTCAACCATCACCTCGCCTACTGGTCAGCCCTAGTTTAACATTTTTTGGTGACAAATTCTCATAAGTTAACTTTTTTGATGACAAATTCTCACAATGTGCATATTTCCACATGGCCAACCGTGGTTTGAGTCCCAGACCTGGTGGTTTGTTTTCTCACTTTCCCTTCTTCTCTCTCTGGTCAAATTTTTAAAAAAGCAATAACAAATGGAATTAAATAAATAATTCTCTAATTCAAAAAAAAAATAAAAAGGAAAGAAAATGGGACCAGCTCATAAAATAGTGGTTAGGGTGGCTGGAGGTAGAGTCCCAGATCCAGAGACTTGAGAAATACACTGGGCGTGTATATCCAAAATCCTGACAGAAGGGAGTAATAGAGGAAAAGGGATTAGTGTGACCATTCCACGTGGGGGTGCTTTCTCATTTTCCCCTCTCTCTCATTTCTCTGTCTCTCTCCAGTGAGATTATACACGCTCTGGCAAAATTTAAAAAAAAGGGGGGGGAGGGAGAGAAAACCATGTTTGAGTTCATCTGTAGCTTAGCACCAACATAATGTCTTTCCACAGTTCTGTGTATCAGAGAACACAGAAAATCCCAACTATTGAACTAAATATTACAAAGATAGTCCTTGGGACCAGCAGTTGGCATAATGGCTTTATCACTGGACTCCCATGTATTCTACCACGGTTCGAGTCCCAGACCCAGTGGCTTAAACTCATGCCAGGTGCGTGTTCATGCATGCCCAAGATCCCAAAAGGAGAATGGAGGACAAGGGATTGCAGCGTGGCCATCCCCCCTGGGGGGTGATTTCTTGCTGTCTCTTTGTCTCTGTCTCTTTGGCGAGCGCATGCACCCTATAGCAAACCCCGCCACAGCAAAAAAAAAAACAAAAAAAAACACAAACAAAAAAACACAGATAGCCCTTAAAATAAAATTCCATTTGTATCACAATTAATAGAAAACCATTATACAAAAGCAGCATATTTAGGACACCTAATAACTACACCTAAGTAGCATTTCATCCTGTAAATTAAGTCTAATAATGTTTTGCAAAAGCTTTTTGGGATCCATTCGTGTGTTTCTCAAACTTTAACGTCCATACAGCTCATGTGCAGACCCTAGGAAAATTCAATTCTATTCAGTAGTGTGTGACAGGGCCCGAGAGTCTGCACTCCTATGAAGTTTGTGACAAGGACCCAGTCCAAGTTCAGAGCTGATCACTCCCCACACTTGAACTCAGTGATTCCTGCTCTTCCCAACCCACCATGTGCCTGAAGTCTTCAACCTAAATGAGTCCCCCTCACCTCCTCCATTTTGAAAACTTTTATTGTTAGAGGTTTAACTCAAACTGCAGGGATTTCAGGCAGAAATGTAGATGCTGCTGCTTCTGTGTTCCTGAGGCCTCTATAAATTTTGTTTTCCAGAGTTTATCACACATGTCATACACATGTCCATTTCCCCATGAGACTATGAGTTGTAGGGCAGGAAATGTCGTATCTTCAGCACACAGATTTTCAATAAATGTTTTCTGAGCACAAGTCACTGAGATACTGAGTTTCTGCTACTACTTTGAAATAATGATTGTCACAAGCACTTTCATTCCTTTCATTTTCTTTAAGGTAATGTTTAGATAATCTATTAAGTTAAAATATAAGACAACACATATTCAAAATTAAAGTAAAATGCTATACACTATTTGATGAGATGTTCATCTTATTACTGAAAAAAAGTCATGTTAATTTCATTTCATTTGGGATAAAATGAACAAAACAAAAAACAGTTCTTTTTGGTACCATTTCAATTCAAATGCTTAAGAAGAAATTTCTAAAGTACTTGCCCCTAAATTTCTTAGGACTCATTTATTATATTTCTTTAAACAAAAACAATAATAAATTAAATGCTGACAGAGTCAGTCCACTTTTTTTTTAAACCACTCACCTTCCTCATCTATCCATTTCATGGTAAAAAGCTGCTCGTTGTCAAAAGAACACATGTCTCGAACCTCATTGCAAAGACCCTCAAAAGAGATGGAAGGTTCAAAATGTGTTATCATGATATCCCTGGAAAAGAAAAGCAGTTTTAAGTTTGCAAATGAATGAAACTGGTAATGTTCTGATAATAGCAAACGCCTGGCGATGTCAGGGGCTCCAGCGGTTCCGTGTATGTGTCCACATGCATCACTTCCAGTAAACTCTCTGTACAAAGTAAAATGTCAATATTAAATACTTAGAAACAAAAATTCCGCATTCTGAGCGATCCCACGTCACTCTCCCTCGCTCAGAAAGCCCACCTTGACTGCTCGGAGGGACAGGCTCGCTTTTCCTCAGTGCTTCCTATGGAAAGCTTACTTCTTCCGAAAGCATTTCTCCTGACGAATGCCAACTCCATCACTGGTAACCATCTGCCTTACACGGAACAGAAATCTGCTCCGATGGCGAGTCCCAGATCTCCCCTCCCAGAAAGTCTACCCTTCATCCCAGAGAAGACCCTGGGGTCCTATCATCTCCCTTGGTCTGGACTTCTACAGACTAACCACGGATGAGTCTGTCAGTCGTTCTCTGCATGGCATGATTTCTAGACCCCACGCCTTCATTTCCATCTTTTTCTAAAAAAAATTCCAATTTGCCAAAATTGGCTTTAAAGTGATTCATATTTTGAATTATTCACTAAGAAAACTTAAAATCACAGCAGAATGTTTTAAAGTGAAAGACTAGCATTTACTCCTAGAAGCCATGAGAAGGCTCCCTATGATCTAATCTCCACACGGCAAACGCAGGGAACCTTTTAAATATGTCAGATAGATTGACTGACTTAATTTAACACTAAAATAATGATCTCTTTGTGTTACCTTCTGCTCTGAGGGTTTTACAAAATAAATGTAGTTTGCGTCTTTCTGTTTTACATCTTCAAATGCTTCTCCGCTCAAGCAGAGTAAAATCCAATTCCTAGCAGAATCTACAACCCATGTGTGAACCAGCCCTGGCCACATCTCTCAACCACCTCTCCTACCATTAGGTGATAAATATTTATAGTCCACCATTGCCCCAGCTAGAATGTAAACCTGGTAAAAGCAAGGACTATGTTTGTTATTGTTTCTAGAGGTCAATGTATTACTTAGCACAAAATGAGTACGCGATAAACATTCATTGACAAGTTGAAAGGAAAGAAATTACACTGTCGGGAACTGAGGACAGAGATGGGTAGCAGGACCATAAAATAGGAAATAAGTTAAAATTTTAGTTTTCTACAAAAAAGTTACAGCTGTCACACTGGACATCATAATCCCACTTTACAGATCTCAAAAAAGCAAGACACAAAGGCATACTTGCTAGAGTCTCGTATTTAAAAAATGGAATATTGGGCGTGGTGGTGTCCGCCCTATGGTAAAAAATGGAATATAAATTCAAAGTCAAACCTCCAAATGGCACGGGTGATGGTCACTGTGATATGCTCCTCACTCTCTCACCCCACCCTGCCACCAAACCCCCATGAAGCAATGAAAGATTCATCATCTCAGCTGCCTGAAGTGCTATCAGTGACAATCTTCGGTTGTCAGCTCAATCCACAGACTGACTCCTGACCTATGTCACACCTCTTCTTGGCACAACCCACGACCAGTGACGTTCTAAGTGTAGAGGTATTAAGGCCCTAGACTCAAGTCAGGAAAGCTGTGAAGTGTCAACCCTCCCAGGAGGGTCAAAGGAGGTTTTAGCTGCATCTCCAGGACAGCTTGATATTTTCTGCCTAAGCCTGTCTTATGGTTTCGATGTGTACCCCCACGGCCCCCAGTCCATACTGAAAATTAATCCCTACTGTGTTGGTATTAATTGGCGGGGACTTCTGGGAAGTGGTGACCTTCCGAAGGCTCTGCCCCCATGAATGGATGAGTGCTGTGTAAAAGGGCTGGAAGGAACTCGTTTAGTCCTTTTCCGTCCTCCCATCCTGTCGAACACGTGACGATGAAGCATTACTCCTCCCTCACAGCAACAAGGTGCCACCTCAGAAGGAGACAGAGCCTCTCCACAGACACGGAATCAGCCAGCACCCTGACCTTGGACTTCCCAGCCTCCAGAACTATGAGAAGTGAGCTCCTGATCGTCACAGATACCCAGCCTGCAGTATTAGTAGCAGCTCAAATGGACCAAGACCGCTGCTTCCTTCCCTCCTCCTCTCCTCCACAGCTATCAATCCCTAGAGCACCTCTGAGTAAACCTCTTGCATACTAATTTCCTGAGATCCCCCCACCTCTCCACAGCAGCATCTACTCAATGCATATATCTTAATTGGAGAGGTTTTTTGTTTGTTATAGGCCACATGTATGGTCCCAGCCCATACAAATATTTTTAAAACATCTATATAACCCTTAAAAAGTGTCAGGTTCTGGGACCGGCAGGTGGCGTGATGGTTAAGGCACTGGACACTCCTACATGGCTTGCTTTTTCTCTTTCTGCACAGTTTGAGTCCTAAAGCGAGCAAATTGAAAAATATGCCTGGTGCTCTGTGTGTTGGTGTGTGTGTGTGTGTGTGTGTGTGTCTTTCTCTGGTCAAATTAAAATAAATAAATTAATTAAATTAAACAAATAATTCTTAAAAAAAAAAAATGTAAGTACTATGCCAGCAGGTGGTGTGGTGGTGAAGGCACTGGACTCCCATATGGCTGACCACAGTTCAAATCCTAGACTTGGTAGCTTGAAAATCATGCCAGTCGTGCATACATGCTCAAAATCCCTGGAGGAGAATGGAGAAGGGACTGTGGCGTGGTTTCTCACTTTCCAGGTCTCTCTACAGTGAGTACATGTGTCCTATGGCAAAAACCTAAAAAAAAAAGAAAAAGGAAAAAAGTGTTAAGTACATACATCTTTAAGAGATTTAATAGAGGAGTTGTGCTTTATCAACTGCCACTCCTTAAGTTCCAGGAACTAAAACATGTACTGGGAGTTTTATGTAAACACTTCTCTTAAGTAATTGGGGAAGCACCATGCTCATACTCCACGATCACTAAATCCTTGTTAGAGTATCAAAGCTAGAAATGAGCTGCAAAATATATTACATTCTAATAGTATAAAACTACTCATGGATGATTTTTCAAATTTATTTTCAGCATTAGCATAAATTATTTTACCTCTGATTTTCGAAAAGATATAATCTGCTTTACCACAAGATTCCCCAAGTGGTAAATACAGACATAGTTGTAACTGAATTAGAAAAATATTTTAACTTTGCTATTGGGTTTCAGATGATAAACTGCTCTAAGCATTTAATGTTCTCAAGTTCTAACATATAAAATCAAGTGTTTTCCTTAGGACTAATTGCTTTTAAAAATAAACACCATTTTCAGCCCTTCTCCTATCTCAAGACAAGCTTTTATCCTAAATTATAGTCTATGTAGGGTCAGCAGGTGGCTTTATGGTTAAGGTGTTGGAGTCCCACATGGCCAACCATGGTTCAAGTCCCGGATCCAGCAGCTTGAAAATCACAACAAATAAGCAAATAAATAAACGTAAAAATAGATATAGTCTATTTAGAAAAAAATATTTTATTAAAAAATTATTTTTTGTTTAACTTTATTTATTTTATTTATTTTTAATTTTGACAAGGGAGAGAAAGCAAGAAAGTAAGCCGCCAGGTCCAGGACCTGAACTGCAGTCGCCCATGTGGGAGTCCAGTGCCCTTAACCACCACATCACCTGCCGGCCCCAGAATAAACATTTTTATTTGCAATTGCCAGTATAATAATTGGACTGGATACAATTTCAAGATGGTAAAATCATTAAGTAAAAGGTCTTGGGAAAGAGAATATTCAGACAATCTAGAAACACCTTCAAAATAATTATTAATTACAAAAAAGGCAGTCCTGTGGCCTGGAGGTTAAGGGAACTGTACTGTATCCCACAGAGCTGAGCACACAGTTTAAATCCCAAACTCAGAGGCTTGAAAGCATGCCGGAGGAACAAGCAGATGACATAATGCTTACGTTACTGAACTCCCACATGGCCGGTTCGAGTCCCAGACCCAGAGGCTTACAACTCACACTGAGCGTGCGTGCTTAATATCCCGAGAGGAGAATGGAAGGGAAGTAATTGCAGCGTGGCTATCTTCAGTAAGGAAGGGGGTGATTTCTTGCTTTCTGTCTCTCTGTCTCTCTGTCCCCCTGGCAAGCAAACACACCCTATAGGAATACCTCTCTTACAAAAAAAAAAAAAAAAAAAAAAAGACTCAAAGAAAGAAAAGCATGCCAGATGTATATGTGCATACCAAAAATTCCAAAAGGATGGAGAAATGGAGAAGAGATAGAAGTGTGACCACATTCCATTTGGGGTACTTTCTCCCTCACCCGTCTTTCTCTAGCAAGCATATGCACCCTCTGGCAAATTCTTTAATTATGAAAAGTCATAAAGCAATTTCCATTTGTTAATAATCAAGAAGGTACAAAATTGAGCCAGCAAGTGGTATAGAGATTAAGGTGGCTGGATCCCAAATGGATGACTGCATCCAAGTTACAGACCCGGCAGCTTGAGAATCACACCAGAAGCCTGTGGGTGTGTGCCCAAACTCCTGAGGGAAAAACAGAGAAAGGACTGCAGTGTGACCATCTCTCCTAGGGGTGGATTTCTCACTTTTCCTCTCTTTCTCTTTCTGTCTCTGTCTTTCTCTGGATAGTGCATGTGCCAATAGCAAACTCGGAAATTAAAATAAAATAATTTTTTTAAAGAATTATCTTATTTAACTTTATTTCTTTTAATTTGACCAGAGAGGGACAGAAAGAGAGAAAGTGAGAAAGTGAGCCACCAGGTCCAGGACTCAAACTGCGGTTGGCCATGTCGGAGTCCAGGTGTCCTTAACCACCATGCCACCTGCTGACCCCATAAAATAAAAATTTTAAAAATAGAAAACTAACTCAAAAATAACAACTGTGGGAACCAGCAGTTAGCATAATGGCTATGTCACTGGACTCCCACGTAGTCGACCGCGGTTTGCATCCCGGACCTGGTGGCTTAGAACTCACGCCGGGCGCATGTGCGTTCGTGCCCAAGATCCCGAGAGGAGAATGGAGGAGAAGGGATTGCAGCATGACCATCCCCCCTGGGGATGATTTCTCGCTTCCTGTCTCTATGTCTCTCTCTGTCTGTCTGGCGAGCGCATGCGCCCTATAGCAAAAACCTTTCCAAAAAAATAAATAAATAACAACTGTGAGATATGAATTTGACAATAAATCAAAAAAGCTATGCTATAAAGCTCCACCAATACATTAAAAGGGAAAAGACAGATTTATTAGAAAGTTAAGACAAAGCTTTGCATTGTGCCTTGCTAAATTTTAATGCTATCACGTGTATAATAGATATAATGATATCTACCTCTGAGAAAAGCTCATAAGATAAAATATTAGTATGTAATGAACATCTGCATGCTACGGCAGAAATTGGAAAATCCGAAGACATGACAACAGAGCGGTAAGTGTAGATACTGAGACCATAAAGGAGTAGAGTGGGTGTTATACGGGGGTAGGAAGGGCAATGAGAAAATTGCTTAAAGACAACATAGAGTTCTCTGTTGAAAAAAAATCTGTAATTTTTTTTATTAAACGTAAAAATAAAAAAAGAAAAAAGGATGAAATAAATTACGGTATAATAACATTGTGCAATATATATCTACCAATTATAAAGAAAGGGATCCACTTACATGTCTGTCTATCTTGGAGTGACTAGGAATGAAAGATGACCATGAATGAAAACATTAAGTTTTAAGTTGTAGGAGCACGGAAATATGAACCCATTGGAGCAGTCAGCAGCATGGTGGCTAAGGTGGCTGGGTCCCGCATGGCTAGCTGTGCAGTTCCAGTTCGGGACCTATGGCCTGAAAAGCACACCAGCTGTGTGTGTGTGTGTGTGTGTGTGTGTGTGTGCGCGCGTGCGCATGCGCGCCCAAACCCTGAGAGGAGAGGGGAGAAGGGACTGCAGTGTGGCCATCCCGCCAGGGGATGCTTTCTCACTTTCTTTCTCTCTCTGGCAAGCATATGCACTCTATGACAAAGTAAAGAGAGAGAGAAAGAAAGAAAGAAAAAAAGAAAAAAGGAGACAGGGCTTGTATGATGGTTAAGGTAGCTAGGTCCCATGTGGCTAACTGCACAGGTCCAGTCAGGAACCCGGAGGATTAAAAAATAAAAATTAAAAAATATGCCAAATGGGGACCAATAGATGGTGTAATGGTTACATCATTGGACTCTCTGTGATTCAACTCAACTATGGTTCGAGTCCCAGAACCAGCGGCTTAGAACACTCCTGGTGTGTGTGCGTGGGCCCAAGATCACAAGAGGAGACTAGAGAAGGGATTGTGGCATGGCCATCCCATGGAGGGTGGGGAGGGATTTCTCGCTCTCTGTCTCTGTCTGTGGCGAGCACACATGCCCTATGGCAAAAACCTCTAAAAAACAAAAAACAAAAGAGTCAGGTGTGTGTGTGTGTGTCCAAAATCAAGAGAGAAAATGGAGGAAAAGGGATTGCAGCATCTACCTCTCCCCCAGAGAGTGTTTTTTTTTTCTCTCTTTCCGGTGAGCATGTGTGCCCTGTAGCAAATTAAAAACAAAAAAGAAATAGGAACGCATTTGTTAAAAAATAAAAGGATGTTTTCATATGTGCATGTTTCTGCATGTGTGGTCATTCTGGACATTTCTACTTGGATGCCTCGGAAGCAGCCTGAACTCAAAATTCATTTAATTGTTTCATTAATGAATTACTTTCTTCCACAGATCTCTTCTGTATTCCCATCTCTCCCAATAAGGAACCTATGACTGGCTGGACAGTTTCTCGGTCCCCAACAGGCAACTGATCTCTAACTCATATTCATTCTACCCCCTAACATCTCTATCAGATTCACACTCTCTTCCATCTCCTTAGAACTCTCAACCGGCCTGTCTCAAAAGCTTCCAGATGAGTCAGCTATT